AGTGATGATGAATATACAATACATATGCAGTTTTCTTGTCTTGTCTCTTTTTGTGAAAGTCATGTTGGAGTTCTTTCCTATTTGTATCACGAGTAGTATTAACTTATTTATAAAAGGTATAAACTAATTTCTTATTGACCTATGTGAATTATTGTCCAAATGTTTAATTAGTGCGTCTCCTCTTGGGCAATGGTGCATTGTCCAATTTTAACTTTCCGGCATCTTGTGGAGAGAATCTGGAAGAGAAAAAGAATGTTTTTATCACAAACTACTATAAATGACAATTACCCTTTTTACTTCTACTTGGACATTTGAGCCACAGGTAAGCCTTATCAAATGCATCTCAAGATTCTACCTGTCAGGTAGATTTTCCCTCTAGTTAAATTTACTTCCCTTGTTAGGCATGGGCTTTCTAGATCATTATCAGCCAGGTAACTAAACCGTCTGGCCCTTTGATGATTTGATAAAGCCAGCTAGGTGCTATCCAAAGGCATGTCTCAGGATTATTTCAAAGATTTCAAGCACCTGATAACAAGATAATGCAATGTAGCAAGGCAATTACAGAGGTGAGACTCTTATCACAAATGTGATCAAGATCTACTTTTATGACCATTACCCAAGTAAATATAATCATGAACTTTGCATGTGTACATGTCCACATATACACTTTCACTATAAGACCAATGAGGGTGTTTGTCAATCGTCTTTATTCTGTTTAGGGAATCCAATTTAAAAATGAAAAATCTATTAATTATCATTCTCAAACTTCTCTATTTAGGTCCAAGGTCTGACGTAGGTGGGTCAAAATCTAGTGTTAGGCTCACCTGTACAAATGAATGGGAAACTGACTCTCTGTGATGGGGGTTATCTGTTACTTTACACTGGGACTAAAAGCATGTGCACCGCCATGGTTTTGGTGGTACGATAAAGGAAAGTAAACGAAATAATCTCTATGCACTTACAATATATTTTGGACACGAGGCTTAGTAAGAAAGTGTCAGAGTACAAAGTAAAGGAAAGAAAACGAGATTATCTCTATGCACTAACCATACGTCAACGGCCCCGTCGCCATATGGTCTGAGAGTTAGGTACAACGTGAATCAGAAGGAAGCGCCAAAAATAAAACGGTCTAGATCTGTCGCATAGGTTATCTGTATCACCATGCCTGTATGTAGAATTAGTATCTTATCTTTTGTCACCGTTATGCGGTAAACTCGTATATCTGAAATACAATAATTTAAATATAATGGGTCGGACTTTTATTTATCTGAACAATAGAGTGCATGCTGAACAGGAAGTACGATTGCCGAAATTCTATCGCAACTGATCGCTGCCAGTATCAGTGTGAACGCAAATAATTACGGTTTAGTTGAATGCGATTCAATCGGAGTTAACTCGACCGCGGTTAACTTTCTAATGTAAATGACCTATTAGTTGGTAGGCCTAATGCCCTAACCGATTTGGAGACTCATTTGTAAGAGATTTCAGGTTGGTGCTCGGGGCAGGGGTGGGTTGAAAGCACCTTTACCAAGTTCAGAACCTGACAGAAGCCTGTTGCCTACAGCATCTATCCGTAAGAGTTCATCTTGTAGGCCTATCACCTATTTGACCTTCCCCGGTGCCATCTTTTCGATTCACGTGGCAGGTCATGAGTTGTGGACAAGGCCCAGATGGTTGATGCAGGCACTGTTGGTACTGATGTAACAAAAAAGTCAAGTGTTTCATATAAGAGTCCTCTTAATCAAAGTGGAAAAAATGAAAATTTGAATAAGTGTTATTAAATAATAACATTTAATTTCATTTTCATTTATTTTCTATTTCTAATTTCATTGTGTATTTTGTAAAAGGTTTCTCGTCTGTTCGTCGGAATGGCCTGAACGAAGTATATTCTTCAGAAAACATGTCCAACTAACTAACACTATCTTTATCCAAATACACAAATTAAAAGCTCATTTTTATTGTAAAGTTTGGGCCTTAAAAAATGTCCTTTTTGCTCAACCTGGGAGTTAATGAGCTACCGGGGTACGTGGTCATGTGGTCCAATGACGACAATCGTGCTGCCGCAGGAGAGAACCAAGCAGCGTGTATAGCTGTCAAGCTGAGCTGCATTGTCTACCTGTAAGATGACTTTTCTGACTCCTGATAAAAGTTCATACTCATTCAAATCTCTTACCCTTAATCCTCGTGAAGCAGTGTGAAGCCATTTTCCTGTCTATTCAATTCTTTAACTAGCATTTAATTATGGTTATCCCAACTAGTATAATATACTGCAATCGAATGACTTGAGGGTGCATTTGTTCATTCGATATGAGGTCCATGTTATTTGTGGAATTCAATTCAATTCAAATTATTATGTACAGACACTGATGCGCTTTCACCGATAATGCGATAAGTGAAAAACTGTTTTACCTTTTGGCTTGAAACTTACACAACTGATGTATATTCATAATGCGCAGGTCAAGTTCAAAAATCAGCATGATCGGCCATTTTTATCTCTGCCAAGGAGGTTAGATTTTCACCCCTGTTTCTCTGTCTGTCTGTCATCAACATAACTCAAAAAGTTTTGGACCGATTTTGATGAAAATTTCAGGAACTGTCAGAAGTGGGCCAAGGAACAGATGATTAGTTTTTGATGGTGATCAGGGTTTATAATCAATCAATAATCAATGATAAAAAAAAAAAAAACTGAATCATTATAGAATGAAAATTTAGGGGTGAAACGGCATTGGATGGAGACTTTGCTGCCTTGGCGGGGGTCTGGACCTTCTGAGTGCTTTTCTAGTTATGGAAGTTATGCTGTTTTTTTCACTTTTTCATCATATATCCAACACCCATAACACGATAAGTGGAAAACTGTTTTACCTTATGGCTTAAAACTTACAGAACTGATGAATATTCATAATGCGTAGGTCAAGTTTGAAAGTCAGCATGATTGGGACATTTTTATGGAAGTTATGCTGTT